ATATATATATATATATATATATATATATATTATTCTGTAAATAATGTATTAAGTGTGTACCTGTTGGATGTTTAGTTTTAGAATGATAAGACAGTAAGTAGTCAGGTTAAAGATATAACATTCTTTATTGTTGTTGTTTGTATTTTTATCCCCAGGTAAGAAGTCATATCTTGGGTTTCTAGACATTTATATAAATATTTCACAGATAGTTTTTTCTTTAAAAAAAACATGATATAGATTTACAGTAAAAATAACATCAGAATGGGTGTAGAAGCAATTCATTATTGTTGAGAAAAAGTGAAGTGGAATGGCTATATTAATATTATCTTCAAATACAAATGCAGGAACAGAATGCTTTAAACACAAATACACTGTTGAATCATGTAATTTATTCATGAAGATATCAGGATATTGTCAGTAGGGAAAAGGCCTTATTTTAATCCCATTACCTTGGGATATTGGCAAAATGCTATTCCAGGCTTTGTTCATATGGCACACCATTTTATTCTATACATTTGTAAAGCTAACGAACTGGATCTCTTTGGATTGTAGTCATGAATGTATACTCTGACGTCACTGGATGTATTTTGTTAACTGGTGTTATATAAAGTAGTTGTATGATAGTCTTTAAGTCATTTGAAATTCGTTTTTTTAACAAGCACTGACAAGCATTAATAATGCTTTCAACTTCCATGCTAGAAAATTATATGAAAACAAAAAACTAGTTAAGGTTTAACTGGTAGTTTAGCAAAAATGCTGTAAAGTGTTTTTGTTTGTTTTTAAATGATCATGAACATTAGGGATTATTTCTTGGAACTTGAGCAATCAGATGTGCACAAAGTATCATAGTACAAACTTGTTATGAGAAAGGAATAATGTTATATGAAGTATGTGTTAATTTTTTTTTTCAAATAAATTTGTGTTGTCACATTTCACATATTAAGTCTTTAATAGAAGATTACTGTACAGTTCAACCCTGTGGAGCAAATACATTGGTAGAAAACTAGCATATTTCTGTTAAAATAAGTACAAACAATTTTTCCAAATTTGTGGCCAAGCATTACTTCTGTTACTTTAAAACAATAAAATGTGCCGTGTTACATATAATATTAAGGACAGGTTGTGGGGGTATGGATAACGATTTTATTGTACAGAAATATTTTACTAAGAAGTGCTGTGAGAACTTATAATGAATAATTTGCATAAATTGATATCTGTGCTTCAGATTTGTCTTGGTGACATGAAAAACAATGTGTCACCAGCAAAATGGACAGAGATGTATGACTGACATTGTTGCTCTGTTGTCTAAATAGTAAACTTTAAAAAGTACAAAACTTGTAGTTATTAGAAAAATCACTTAAAAGTAAGTCTTTCTATTATCATTATTTTTTTTACAAAAATATAAAATTATACATTTTATTAAAATGTGCACATGGATGGTATACATTTTACCTAACTTAGCTATTTTAATAACCATTAAGTTTCCTAACATCAGAATTTTGCTTTGCCTTACTGTGATTGATAAAAAGAAATAAAATGCAGAAGATTAAAAGGGAAGAGGAAGATTAGTAAGTAATCTAAATTTATTATAAATTGTCAGAGAGCAAAATTTGAGCTAATAATGACGTTATAAGACAGTATAGTTGTTTCCGAAAAGCATTGAGAGTTACACTTTCTAAAAGATACTGTTAAAACATTTTCTTGCCCCTCTTATCAAAACTGGTGAAATTACACCTGTAATTTTCTTTCTTCCTTACTTGCATTGAATTAAGTATATGTATTATCTTGGAGCACATTTGTTTCACACTCTTAAATTTGTCAGCAAGAAATTAAGAAGGTACATTCACACTATGTTTTCAACATATGAAATTAATTACAAAATATTAACTTTGAATAATATTTAAAGAAGGAAGCAGTTGACTTAAAATTTCACCAGAGGTGAATTGATTTTTAATCAAAAGTCTGTGTAGAAATGTATATTTAGAAATATCAAATGAATTGGATATATTGAGTATCAGTTAGTTAAGTAATTGTTAGAAGTGTATATTCTATGATTTATAGTTGACTGTAGTCATATATATATAATATAAATCTCATCTTATTGTAAAAATAAGAGTACGAGTGTTTGTTTTTATAAAAGTTAATTGTTGTCATTGAAGCTGTCATGAATTGTTGAATACCATTTGTAAACAGTGCCAGTTGTATTCAGAAATCATTTTGTTATAGGCTTTTGTCATAAAAATGTTCAGTAAATTTTTCTACCTTTAGATAAAACTCAGGAATTGGGGTAAAACACCCACTCATTAATGAACTGACATCAGAACATAGAAGTAATGTGATTGAGTAGGGGTGCAAAAATAAGCTATTATCGTCACAATTATGGTATTACGCCCATCACTTTCATTCAGCCATTGACCTTTTCCACCGTATCATAAAGAACAGAATCTTGTTAGCATAACTTGTTTAAAAAGCAACATGATGTGATTCTAGTGTTGCCATTCTGACATTTGCTAATATCCTTGATATCAATTATTAATGCAGATGCTCAAATTTTTTGACTTGATATTAGGAATATTGATGACATTAATTATCTTGGCATTTAATATGGGTACATCATGGATGATATTAATTATTTATATAGATGCTAAGTGACATATTGATATTGAACTGAGTACATCAATTATAATAGGAATTACTAATGCAAAAGTTAAAATTCTGACATTGGATGTTAGAACATCAACTGTGATATTAATTCCTAATACTGTTACATCATGGATGACATTAAATGATATTGATTAATAATACAAATGCTACTAAGTGATATCCTGGTATTTGATCTGAGTACATCACTTACAATATTAATTATTAGTGAAAATGAAATCCTAAAGCTTTATGGTACTAGATCATGGATGATGATCATTAGTCATCACTAATGCAGATGTTAAATGTCCTGGCATGTGATGTAATTACATCTTTCATGTACTAATTAATAATAATAATACACTTTTTAAAAACCCTGGCATTTGGTTTTTATTACATTATTGTTGAAATTAATTATTAATGTAGAAATAGATGTTAGAGACCCCATTAACACATCACAAATGTAAATTGTAAGTAATGAGTAACATTTTGACTTTTTATGTTAGAACATTATTGATAACGTCAATGATATTTAAATGGTATGTGTCATGTGGTTCTACAAATGCAGATGAATGAAAAGATAGTGTAACACACATAGTCCTATAGAAACACCCTTGTTATTTGATTTCAGGAAGTTACTAATAGTGTTCTTAATACACACATGAAAATCTCAGCATTGTCCAGTTTTATGGGACTTTGGAAACACTTTTTTGTATCTATAAGATTTAAAGTCTCCTTGGCTATTGTATTTAAATATGTAATGTTCAGATTTTTTAAGCTACCCAGTTATGCATTAAATTTTTTTAACACTTGAAATATAAGGAAAAAAGTATTAAAGAAGCATGAACTGTTTGATTGTTTTATAACGCTTTGTAATATTAAGACCAGTGTAATTTTAGCTATAAATTATGAATTTTTTATTATATTTGAATGCATACATACAGTGTTACCGAATTTAGAGTGGTATTATGAACTTGAAAATAGGGTAGCCGTTTTAATTAGATTAAAGTTTAGTTTGAAGATTTCAGTGTATCAGAAGAAAGGAGTTAGGAAAATTTTAATCCAGTGAGGAAAAAAATCAGCCTTTTTAAAACAAAATGCTGTTTATACTACTAATATGTTAGTACATGAAAATAAATACTATCTAAAAATTACAGTATAACTTTGTTCTGTTTACATTATACAATCAAACAACAAAATCAATGTAAGATTTAATTGTCAATGGAACTTAAAACTACAAATGCACTGTTTCAAGAAATTAGAATTTTAGCATTACATTTAAAATTTTTAATGATTTCAGGGTTTTCGGACACAAATATAATGTCATAGGTCCACTGTACTACAGAAAAAGGCTTGTTGATTATCAAATGGAAGTTCCTTAAATCTGTTGGTAAAACCTTGTGTTCTAGTAAGCTAAATGTATAACCTGGCAATGTGTCAAAATATATCTTTGTTCCGAAAAGGTTATGGAAAGTATTAGTTAGAAAGTTCCTGAAAAAAAAAGTTTAAAGAAGTTTTTAAAACTACACAGAAGAATATGCTTTAGTCCAGTAAGAATGAGTTGTTAAATATTTTTCAAAGTATGTTGTTCTATTTTGTTCTCAAAAATTGATTGTATTTAGAAAATTGTGTACTAGCAAGAAACGAAGTGCTCTTCACAACCAGCACTTCCTTTTCTGTAAATGTGGGTGTAGCTTATTCTCTAGTTGATGAAAATATTTATATTTAAATCCGTTTGAAAATAAAACAATCTTCCCTGATTGGTAATCATTTTTCAAGAAGAAAGATTTGTGACACATCACAAGTGGTTTTGGAGGCTGTAATGTTTGCATCACCATTCTGTCATAGAATGCTAGTTTGAAGGCTTAACATGATTTCAGCAGTGAAGTATATTTGTTTTATTATAGCTAACAGTAATCTTATGATATCCTGTGCATGATGCAATACAACAGAATTGTTTTCCGATGTTTTCTGTGCTCGTTTTTTTATATCAATAGTGAGAGTAGTGTTGAAGTGTTCTTGAAAAAAATAAAACATGTAACATTCGTCCAAACATTCCAAGTGGTGTAATGTCTTCATTCTGCACCCTTTTGAAATTAGCTCATGTATTTGAAGAATAAAATATTTTTGTTCCCCTTATGGATTCTCTTAAAACAATTAACTTAGTTAACGTTCATGTGGAATTCATTATGCATGTATACATATTTGCTATACATCTTAAAAATTTCTAGCACTAAAAAAGAAATCACAAACTGAAGAATATTAAAATGAAATAGCATTTGCAAAACTAAGGTGACAAACTAATGACAAAAACACATTTTTATTATCACGAGCTGCGTTC